GAAGCAGGGGTAGGTGCAGAGATCTTTTCCACAGTCATTAATGAGGAGCATGAGAGACATAGTTTGTTGGATCCATTTTCCTCCTTCCTGCAGTGGTTTGTTAAGGGAGGAGCAGCATTGCTGTGTGTACCTGGGAGCAGTGTTGGTTGCAGTGATTCTGTTGAGAAAATCCCATCAAAGGTGCAAGGCGGAAGGTAGGGCAGAGCAGTCCTGCTGTCAGCGAGCAAAGGTGGAGCTGTGAAAGGGACAGTCTAGGTGGGAATAATGGCCTCCATGGCATTAATCTTTGAGAGCCTTATAAGGGTCAGGGTGAAGGTGGCCAGGCCAGTGAGTAAGGCAGGCAGTGGTGGGATTCTCAAAGGCTAGAGGATTTGCACATCACATTTAAGAGGAATAGGTGTCCACATCCTTTTGGCATTGAAAGCCTTTTATAGATTTAAGTCAATACAATGCTATCCAGAACCAGTCAGTCTATTCCAGAGGCGTAACTGCATCCTCCAGCTGAGCCTGTCTTCTCGGGCTTTCACCCACCATCATTTAGATCTGTTTAGCTCTCTGTTCTGTTGCCTTAACTGCAAAAATGCACTGGGCTGGAAACTGTGAAGGAGAACTGATTAATAACATCCTCATCTTCAGGAAAGGTTTGAAATACCCATGATAAGCAGGTTTTTAGTAGGTAGGGCTATAGCATGTCTCAGCAGGATGCTGTGTAACAGAGAACCTTATTAAGCTCTTCTCTCGTTGGGAAAATGCAGAGCATTACCATTCTACACAGAGGAGGGTTTTCTGATCTGTGGGAAATTCAGAGTTTCCTCTGAGCTAGCTAAAAACATGTATTAAGTCCAACTTGATAGTAATGCTGGAAATGAAAACTCTTCTCTGGGCAGGTGAAGATCCCCTTGCTGATGATCAAAATGAGCGGGACATTAATTCAGTGGCTGGAGTCTTGAAGCTGTATTTCCGAGGACTGGAAAACCCCCTCTTTCCTAAGGAAAGGTTTCAAGATTTGATATCTACTATAAGTAAGTACATATGACAAGCTCTTCTGGGGAAAATAGAGTGGTGCAAGTAAATGGGGGTCATTAATTGCTTGAACAGAGTCGGCTGCAGTCCTGCCTGCACAGATCTGTGGATAACAGACTGCCCATCGGGTGTCATGCAGTCGTGGCTCCTGGCACCCAAAGGAGTTTTGCTGCTTTAGCTCAGTTTCTTCTACTAAACACAGTAAAGATCAGTAACTCCTGGCTACTCACAAACCTTCTCCAGCCCTTGGATCTACAGACTTGGTTTCAGCCTCACTCCATCATCTGTTCTTCAAGTGTTTGCTATGTGCATTTCCAATCCCAAAGGGAGCCAGAAAGTGCTCTGGGATGAGAGCAGAGGTCAGGCTAAGGGTTTTTAGTCACAAAGGTCTGGGATTCCTGTCAGGGGGAGCCTCGTTGCTTCTTGTTCTGTCCTGAATTCTCTTCCCAGTTCAACTTGTTCTGCTGCAACTGAAGAAACAGATATCCCAGCTGGGGTTTTTTTCTCTCAGTACCTTGTAGTGATGACATATATTTATTGGCAAGTCATGGAAATTACTCCCAGAGGGAAGGAAGAAAGCAGAATGAATCTGATGTTTCGGAGATGATGGAGGAGCGTGTTGCATGCTTTGGCTACAGGATGACTTTATTTTACAGGCATCAGAGTTGTTTGGGGGTTCAAGTGTCTCGGTACATGGGTACCTTCAGGGGGAATGACTGGTGAACATGTACTGATGTCCTGCATTTGGCTTTCACTGCTCATGGCTCCTTCCCCACTTCTTAATGTTAATGTGCGTAACTGCTAGAGATTTAGTAATGTCAAGACAGACAGATGATATCTAGAGGGGAATGACGCAGGGATGGGCTTGTTCCAGAAGGAGAAGAATGTGCTTTTATTTTTCAAGAACAGTTGTTTTGTACGTTAGCTTTAGGGAATTCACTGTTGCTTTGCAGTTTTATGTGTAAAACAGTGCAACTCACCTGTAACATGGGAAAGGGAGCTGTTTCTGCACCAGTTTCATGCCCCAGACAGGGAATTTTAGCCTGGCTTGCAGTGCTCGCCCTGGCTGCCCTCCCCAAGGGGCTTGCTTTGGAACCATCCCTAATTAAATGCCAATTTGCACACTTTATTAAGCTTTTGGGAATTTTTTGTTGCAAACATCATCTGTTTATTTTCTGAGCAGTATTCTCTTTTCTCTATTTTTTCCTCATTTTAACAAGAATCTTCCTTTTCCTCATCTTTCTTTTCCTGCTGCTGTTGCTACCTTGCAATTAAGGATGGGGTTTAAATGAATTAAAGTGCCTTGTTGCCATTAAAAATCTGGCCTTAAGTGCATCTGACTTTCTGCCACATAAATACAGGCTGTGTAATTGGTGTCACAATCTAAACAGATTGAAGAAACCTTCTTCCTTTAAGCACTACTGCTCAGTAAAATGCCACCCTCGCTGTAAGAGGTTCTGCCTCATTTTGTCATTATGGTGGAAAGGTTAAACACAGCCGTGTGGTTTGGGCTCCCCACCGCAGTGCGTCACAGAGCCATCGTGCTTCCCTGGGCTCCTGATGAGGTTATTCTGAGTGAGTTTTTTGCAGGAGGTGCTTCTGCACATGTCCCAAGGGCCTCTGAGCACCCCTGGAAGCTGCCACACTGCATCATTCCCAGCTGATGTGATGGGGAAGCCAGGCTTACTGGTGGCGGAGGAAGGGCTGGGTTTTCCTTTTGCTTATGGGGGACAGAGAGTTTATATGGAAGCATTTCTAAAAGGCACATGAGAAATAGATGGATAGAAAAGGCACTTTGTTTGCAAAGGTTTATTCAGAGGTGTGTCTGTGTTGTAGAGTGATTGATGGTTACTCTAATTCCTCTGAATTCCAGGCAGTTGAAATATTTTGCTGAGTGAAGAAGGCAAGTGCTTCAAGACAATTTGTTCCTCTGGGTTTCAGAACAGATATCTATTACTGCAGCTTTTTATCCAGCTTTTATTTGATTGTTTTTTTAACAAATGTCCTCTTAAGTAAAAGCAAGCTGAAGAAATACAGAGCCCAGCAAGCAATAACAGGGGATAAGTGCATTCCTCAAAGGGAAGAATTTCCAAAATGAAATACTATAAAGATTTCTATCTTTATACTGAAGCCAGATTTTGCTCAGAATTTTGAACAAATGGCAGCCCAGCTACATGCTGTCAGTGAATTTTATTATGGTTAGTAAATGTCAAAGTTTGAGCCAGCACAGTAAAGTAAGCATCTCTTCCACACATCAGAGGCTGACTGCTCTCAGAAAGCTTTGGTACTGTTTGTCTGCATTCTGTAAAATAAAAGGATTGATTAGCTACATAATACACTGAGCAGATACTAGCTTAAAAAAGCAGTACCTTGGGGGCTGGAATGTGCTGCCAGCAGCTACAGGACAGCACTGAGCCCCCTCGGTGGCTTGGTGCTGGAGCTCTGCAGGTGAAAGAAATGCCTGAGCAGGGGCTTCAGCATCCTCCTGGTGCGGGACAGCAGGATGATGAGGGTGCAACACTGGGGTCCCCGGGTGGGCAAGCTGACATGGAGGGCAAGATGGCTCTAAGTCCTTCTTCCTACAGGAAGAAGCTGGTTTCTCGTGGCAGCAATAGGCTTCGTGCACTGTTGTCGGGAGAAGTGAATCTTGAAGTGCTGACCCAGAATCAGTTCCGATTAAATTGCTAGTAAGATCAGTGGGAGAGTGGAGCAGAAGGGCTCAGAAGGATCTGATGGCTAACCCCTGAGAGTAACGTGAATAAAAACCTCCTTCAAAAGTCTGCACTAGAAATCCAAGCAGTGCTCCATTTGCCAGTGCCACGGTGACTCAAGCTTTTGAGGAACAGAGTAGTCGTTGAGGAACGAATTAAATAATTCATAAGCATTTTAAAAGTAAAAGTGTGGAGATGTCTTTATTTGCTGTTGAACTGAATCTGAATCTGAAATTCACCCATGGAAGAGTGCTATGCCCAATTGTCTGCATCTTAGTCCCAAACCAGTGGATCGAGTCTGGAAACAGGCTGCTTTCCTTGCATAGTGGGCTACTAGATCTGTAACAAGGCCCTCTCGTGCTGTGTTGACTGGTCCTGAGGAGGTTTGAAGATGTGATTTCTATACATGTGTTCCAGAAATTGAGAACCCCAGCGAGAGAGTGCACCAGATCCAGCAAATCATCATCACTCTGCCTCGGGCTGTCATCGTTGTCATGAGATACCTTTTTGCTTTCCTTAATCAGTGAGTCTGGTTTCTGTTTTCTTCTTTCACTGAGTTTCCCCTTGCCCTCCCTTTTTTTGAGGGCTTCCCTGTCTTTGTTGCTCGAGTCCTTCCTGGTATTGCCATGGAGAGTTGTATTTTGCTTCTGCCTCAGCCTTTCTAGCCGTGGCTGTGTGTCTGGGGAAGGTGGACAGCTCAGTGATGATCGCTTTCTTGGGTGGTGGGGGTTTGGCAGTGGTGGTAGGTTATTCTGAATGAACAGAGGAAGTCAGCACTGTGCCTCCCTAACGCTTTTGCTCGCAGCTTGTCACAGTACAGCGATGAGAACATGATGGATCCCTACAACCTGGCCATCTGCTTTGGGCCCACTCTGATGCACATTCCAGATGGGCAGGATCCGGTGTCCTGCCAAGCCCATGTCAATGAGGTCATCAAAACCATCATCATCAACCACGAGGGCATCTTCCCCAGCCACAGAGAACTGGAAGGACCTGTCTATGAGAAGTGCATGACTGGAGGGGAGGAGTACTGGTAAGGAGCGGGGGCAGAACTTCATTGTTTGGAGAACTTAAAGCCAGATTCCCCCTGTTAGGGTTATCTTCTGGCACTGTACATCAAGAGTGAGCCTGTTAATGCTATAAATCAGGTGTGCAAGTGACATACACTTGATATGCTTGTGCAGTTTGATAGTGGTTAAGAATCTTACTCCATACCAGACTGTCTGCATGGTTCTTAGTTATAACTACCTTCATTAAAACTAAGAGGATTTTGCACACCTAACCAATTAGTCTCTACTGACATGTATCGGGTTTGGTTTTGGTTTTAGCTTTGCCAGTTAAAACAGCGTAGGCAGTTTCAATGAGTATTTTTTTTTTCTCATGCTGACTCATCATTATAAACCTCAATAATAACTTCAGGAGAAACTCTGTAAACAAACTCCAACATTAGAAGTGGTTAATGTGGTATTAACATTAAGTTATTAATGATGATATTAACATTGATATTACACAGTTGTCTGGAGGATGCTGCAATCCTAAACTGACATCCAGATCTGAGTTTTAACAAACCTGTATTTATAACACACCTGAACTGATTTCTGTGCAAGTTTCACACATTTCTGAGACCTAATCTTCCCTGACATTGATCACCTGCCACCATCCTTACTGATGCAAGCGGAGGATAAAATGCTAAAACCCACTGTGAATGAGTGAATGGAACATTTTAACTTGGTATCACTTTCTATTTGTTTTGCCAAATATGAGTAAGATGCATGAGCAACAGAACATGGTGTTCTCGGCCTGAAGATCATGGTGCGAGCATCTGCTGTTCTCACAGCAAGTTCAGAGATCGGCTGTGATTTACAATGACCATCAGTCCTATGAAAACTACACCCATAACTCTCTCAAGTATCAGTGGGGCCAGAATTTCCCTCGACAGCTTGCTTTCGTTAAGTGCCTTAGGAGCAGAATCTCTTCCTTCCTTTGAAAGCACACTGTATTTCATTTCAGTGACAGCCCCCACAGCGAGCCAGGCACCATCGATGAGGTTGACCATGACAACGGCACAGAGCCACACACCAGTGATGATGGTGAGCACAAATGCGAGCAGCAGAAAATTGGGTCTGTGTTAGGAGAGCAGTGCCTGCAGGAGGGCACTGTGCACTTCAGTCCTGATCAGAATGGAGGTTGGACCACTGGCTGGCACTTCAGGGCGGGACAGTGGTTTTGTGTCCTGAGCAATGAGTATGCATATTAATAAAAGTTGTGTAGGTTTTTGCCATAGGACGTGCATGGATCTTCGCAGCCCTCTGCTTCTATGGTGGGATACAGGGATTAGTTTTCTGGAGCTGTTCAATGAGATTCCTTTAATCCGCTTTCCTGGCGGCTGTTGTTTCCTGCCCCAACAAAATGCTGGCACCTTCCAAGGCTGGTGGGGTGGTGGAGGGCTTGCCGGATGCGGGGAGGAGGGCAAGGACACAGCTGGGCTGGACAGCTCAGGACCTGCTTTCAGCTACAGACAGGAGCCAACAGGACTGAAGATGAAGGCGAGCAAGCTGCCGTTTAGTCAATTTTATGCTTGCATGGTCACATTAATAGCTGATTGAAGTCTCCGGGTGATTAACTGTGCTGCAAGTGTAGAGAAGAGGAGCAGCTTTATTTTGTGAATTTACGTATTCCTTCTTTCCCTCTGCCTTGTCCCGTACACGCCCCCTGATGGGAAACTCAGCATTTCAGCAGGCCTGTAAGCATTTCCTCCAGAGCATTCCCCATTGATCCTGCTGTGGTGCTCCCAAACATCCTGCCACTCATATCAAAGTGGATGTGTATTTTAAGCTGGGGAAAATCAGTCGCTGAAGCAACCTGTCCTGTCTCACATGAGGCGGGGAATGGGGCAGGGGTCTGATGCAGCATCTCCCATGTCCTCCTCCGCTGTTTCTTTCTCTGTGTGGATTTTGTTGCTGAGCGAGCGACAGGTTGTATCCGGATTGCTGCTGATGTCAAGTTTGTGGTTAGTGATAAGGCAGATAGAGAAGAGCAAGTTTCCATACTTTAATGAGAACATGAGAGATCTGGAGGAACTGTGTGGATTTGGCCTATTTTAGCTTAGTCATCTCCTGTCTGCCTGTCTCCAGGTGGAGTTTAAAATGATCCGGAGTCTCAAATAATCAAAGTACATTAAACTACTTGCTTGCTGGCTCCAGTACTGGCTAGAGATAGCTGGGTGGTAGCAGCCTGCTTTTCACCCCTATCTCAAAGCAAAGTGAGGTGGACTGCAGGACAGGGACTTCTGCCAATGTGGAGAGAAGCACTGCCACTGCTTTGCGATTGCTGCAGTGGTTTCCCTGGGATTCAGTGCTCCCAGCTGGAAACAGACTTGCAGAAGAGCTGAGGTCCTCCGCAGGCTCCCGAATGCCAACCAGGCTCCTCTCTGGGTGCACCAGCAGCTCCCACTGTGATGCCCATGGCCCAGAAGCTCAGAGGTTCCTAGTGTACTCATGACCTCCCAAAGTGAAGTCCTGACACAGCCCACTTGAATTTCAGGCCCTGGACTCCCAGTTTGTGAATCCCTGGTGTTTGGTAGAGCTTCAGTTAGAGTGGACAAGTGGTGAGGTAGAGTGCTGGAAGGTCTGCAGATGTGTTGGGGTGATGCAGAGCAGCTGCCTCGCCAGAGCCGGTATCATTGTTTCTATGGTCATCCCCAAAGGGGGATTCGTTACTCATCAATAATTCAGGCCAAACTGTCTTCAGGATAAGGAAAGGAAGAGAGGGTAGGTGGGGCTTCGATCACAGTATCTGACAGAGCTTGACAGGATCCCAGTCTGGAGGATAATGGGGTTCTGTAACCAAAGAAATCACTTTATAGGTAGAAAATGGGAGTGTGGGTGGTGATGCCATATGCACACAGGGAAATTTCAACTACTCCCCATCTGGTTTGTAGCTTTTTGTAATTGCTGGTAGTTTGTGAGTCTGTGAGAAATCCCAGGAAGGCTGGAACAATAGAAAGACTGGATCAATCTAAAAGTAAGATGGTTTGTACTCATTGGAAGATGCTCTTGGGAAGCTAGGGCAACAGCATTACTGCTACTCTGGTGAGATGTCTCTAGATTTATTGTGCTCTGGTGACTGTTGAACTAAGCTCTTCTCTCTCTGCTCTTCTCTCCGTGGCAGAAGTGGAGCAGATCGAAGCCATAGCAAAGTTTGACTACATTGGACGATCTCCACGAGAGCTCTCCTTTAAGAAAGGGGCCTCTCTCCTTCTGTACCATCGGGCATCAGAAGACTGGTGGGAAGGGAGACATAATGGTGTGGATGGCCTCATACCCCACCAGTACATTGTGGTACAAGACATGTGAGTACAGTGGCGTGTGTTGATCCAGAATGTTAAAATCACATACCTCCACAAGGTCCACTTTAGCCACCTGAAATAGATGGCCAGATTTTCCAAGGTTTAATGACTTTGGTAAGAAGTCTGGACCTGTGAGAAATCTGCTTCTCCATGTGTGGGCTCAGGTTGTTTCTTCAAGCTCTTAAAGCCAAGCGCTAAATACTGCAGTGCCTGAACCCCATCTGTCACTGACCACTGAAAGTGGCATGACCCAGGCTTAATACTAGCCTTACCCTCTGTATATGTTGACCTTGCACTGTTCAGGGTCCACCTGACCTGTAGGCATGTCCCAGGGTCCTTCGCAGATACTGCTTTTATTAGAAGTACTGTACCTGGATTCATTAAAATGGCAACTACAGCACAGGGGGATATGAGACGTGACATTCACTCTTCACAAGCTCTGGATGCTGTCTGAAGTGGTGGCCTTGGTCCAGGCCTTTGTTAACAATGTCTGGAGCTGCTGGAGTGGTGATGTTCAGGTCCATGTTGTGGCTGGGCCTTTGCCTTTCTCCTGGGGCAGAGCCCTGTTATTGATGAAGGTTTCCTTTTCCTAGGGATGATGCATTCTCTGACAGCCTGAGCCAGAAGGCAGACAGTGAGGCAAGCAGTGGACCGCTGCTGGATGATAAAGCCTCCTCCAAGAATGACATCCAGTCTCCAACAGATCATATTGTGGACTATGGCTTTGGGGGAGTCATGGGCAGGTAGGGAAACTCATTTTCCTATTAACACAGAGGTGGTCACTGTCGTGTGTGGGGACGGTCAGTGTGTGCTGCAGGGCAAGACAGAAGGGAAGGCTCCAGTAAGCACTGCAGAATAATACAAGCATGGAGGGGGTTTTCATGTGCATTGCTAATGTGGATCTGAACAAGTAAAGAAGGTACAATGCTTTCCCTTTCTTGGCACTGGCTAAAATGTCTGTCTGCCCTCTTGCTTAGTCTTCTGGAGCTGAAAGGCTTGAGTTTGGTTTGATCTGAGCTCTCAGAGCTGAGCGATTGTCTTACAGCATGCAACCAGATGCTTTCGGTCTGACGGACGGTGACCTTAGTCTTGTGATGGATTCTTTGCAGAGTGAGATTGAGGTCTGACGGCGCAGCTATCCCTCGCCGTCGAAGCGGGGGGGACACCCACAGCCCGCCCCGAGGGATGGGTCCTGGCATAGACACTCCTCCTCGAGCAGCAGCCTGCCCTAGCAGCCCCCACAAAATACCTCTAAACAGGGGCAGGATTGACAGTCCCGAAAAGCGCAGAATGGCGACATTCGGCAGTGCAGGCAGCATCAATTTCCCAGACAGGAAGGCCTTGTCTGATGGCCACCCGCTGAGATCAACCTGTGGATCGACTAGACACAGTAGTCTTGGAGATCAGAAATCTCTAGAAGCAGAAGCGCTTGCTGAGGTAAGAGGGTTGTGAAGTGGCTCTCGGTGCCCAGGGATCAAGAGGTTAGAGTGCCGCAGAGCCCCTTCCATCTCAACACACTTCAGAATTACAGTGCTGTTGAGGCTGCAGTGGTTTAAAGATGAGCAGCCGACAGCTTGCCTGCTTTTCCAGCTGTATCAGTTGGTCTAATAAAATATGCTGCCTCCTTCCACAAACCTTGTTTGTTCGAAGCAATAGGCAGAAACGTTCGATCCTCTACTGAAATGCGCTGGCAGCTCTTACTTCCCACAGGGAAGGAAGCGCATTATCTTCATCTGGCGCTCCATAAGGAGCTTTAAGAGGAGAAAACTGGATTTGCCAAATGAGAATTTGACTGATGATCAGTGTTTGGAGAAAAGTGCTTCAGGTTTGTTACTGGCTGTTTGGAGCGAGGACCTCGGAATGTTAGGCTGATCCCAATATGATGCCTCCAGCCATGCAACATCATCAGTGTCACTTTAGGCCATTCAGTTCCACAGTGCTCATTAAGTACATGTTACCTCCAGCATAGCCTGAAGGGCTCCTCTGTACCACTGGCAGGAGGTCCCCAGCCAGCTATGTGTCAGGTTATACCAAACCTGTTAACATCTCAAACAATGGTCCTTTCATGGAGCGGGCTGCAGAACTCCCAGTCTCTGAGGGACCACCTAGTTCAGGCACAGTCCCCACCAATGTGTCTGAACGGCTGTGGGTCAGGCTGGTTTGGGGCACTGAGGGCTGGCAGTGCTGTGGATGGGCTGTCCAGTGTCTCCAGTTTCAGCAGTTTCTGGCAGTTTGCTTCATGCCACCCTCTGGCAGGAGCAGCAGCAGCTGTGGGATGGTCAGTGATGCAGCACCTTGTGTGCCATGGGGTTTGCCAGGCTGTCCTGTGTAGGATCAGCTGCTTTCAGTGGGATAAGTAACGATGGTTGCAGAGAGGAGGCACTCTGACTGTCCTGTTTGCTTTTCCACCAGCCACGCTCCTTGTTTTCTTGCTCTGCAGCACGCTGCCCAGCTTTTCTGACCATCAAGAGCTTGCGTTTGGCATGATCCATTTACAAGTTACGGTCATAGTGCAGTATGTGCCCTGAGGGGTGGCTCAGCTGGGGCACTGTGTCCACCTTAGGATGGGATAGCAGCACCCACAAAGTCCCCAGGCTTGGCTGATGGGCGCCCCAGCAGTGCAAGGCTGTGGAGCCTCCAGAGGGACGGGTGAATGCTGAGGATGGAGCGTGATAGGCACAATTTTCTTGGTTTTTGGGGTTTTGGGTTGTTGTTTTTAAACCTTGTGAAAGATTCTCACTCAGCTGATGTAAATGAATACTTACCATGAGTCTGTGGACTGCTGGATTTTATCGTCCTGTGGCTTAGCTCTGGGAGAATATTTTCACTCATTATCTGACCAGCCTAAAAGAATTAATAGGAGCTAACTTGACCATTATTTCCTTTCTGCTGATCCTCTGAATGCTCTCTGAGGCTCACCAAGCGTTTTGTAAGCGTTATAAAATTAAGGGCTTACCTACGCTAGGATAGTGAGAAGAGTTAACTAGAGCTACCTTTTAAACAATTGATTCAGTTGCCTTAAATCACTTTCAGATGGTCTCTTTCTGAGTCAGTAGCCTTAACTCAGTTGAGGCAGATTTAAGTGAAGCCAAACTAGGGCCTCTCTATTTCTGAATGAGATCATTGGCACTGCAGCTGTAGGCAGTTCAGCTGATTTACTTTAAAGGGACACGTCTAGTTGAACTGGGTTCGCCTTCTGGAGGGTCTCTGTGGACAGGTCCGTGGAGGCCATGCCCTGGAGGCACGACCAGAGGCAGGCAGGTGGTGAGGGGCTAGGGCTGGTCTCACCCAGCTGCCTCCCTGGGTGCAGGGAGAAGCCTCGCTCTTCTATTTATGGCGAGCTGCCATCATGCTGCTTACTCCACATGCATCCCTGTGTGATCCTGCCCCACATATGCCATTGCCCTGTAGGCACAGGGGCAGCAGAGGTTCTGTACATCTGATGTAGGCTGCAGGGCCTTCTTTTTGGGGGGAAAAAAGCCTCAGTGCGGTGGGGGACTGTAAAGATGCCCTGTCTTGTTGGGAGATGGGGAGAGGATGGTGTTCACCCCCTCACTCGTGGTGCTTGGGGTTTGCTGCCTTTGAGCTGGCAATCAAACTCCTGAATTGAGAGACAGTTTTGTGCAGCTGGAGTTGGGGCTTTACATCTTCTTCCAGAGCTCCTGCTTTGCCTGGAGGCTCTGTCTTAGATCAGAGACAACCCCCCAGACGCACATGCCATGATGGGGGTCCTCTCCACAGGGTGGGATGCAGAAGAGTGGGGTGGTGCTGTGGCATGGTGCTGACATCCCTTTGTCAATGGCGTTCGCAGGACATCGAGAAGACCATGAGCACAGCGCTGAACGAGCTGCGGGAGCTGGAGAGGCAGAACACGGCCAAGCAGGCTCCGGATGTGGTCCTGGACACGCTGGAACCCATGAAGAACCCCCCGATG